CTGCAAGCTGTTTGAAGAGGAGGTGACACAGGGTGTACTAACATCGGAGAAGGAGAGATTTTTATTTTCCTATTTTCTCCGTTCACACAGCAGTGCGCTCCTCTCTCCCTGTCCCCTGCTAGTGTCATTTGTCTCCCATCTGCTCCTACCAGGAGGCATTTGATAGGTTTAGGTTGTGCAGCATCACAGTGAGCAGGTTCACAGCAAATCCAAGTGCAGCAAGGCGATCGTAAAAAAATGGAACACAGACAGGGTGAGCCGATCCCGACGCAATTACAAAATTATCATATTGCGTTCGCTAAGAAACACATTTTCCGTTCCACCAACTGCGACGACATCCATGTAATTTAAATGACTGCCGCACTGATTGAGGTGTTTGCCTTGTAAATTGTTTTTTTCTTTTCCAATTACCCAGTCTTTTCCAATTACCCAGTCTTTTCCAATTACCCAGTCTTCAAACTCTGCCAGAGCCCATACTGTGTCTGTCTTCTTCTGTTGATTTCTCTCACTACATCTCTGTTTCTTCAACCTCTTTCCTTCTCTTGCGCTCTTTATGTTTATATTAAGCCATCATGAATCCAAAGTGTCATGCTTTCCACAAATATAAAATAAAAAGTCTAAAAGTATTCCACTGTGTTTCTGACAGAGGACTGAATTGAGAATCGTGCAAGATTTGTTTGAGTCTTGACTATGGATGCCAATGTGTATATTTTGTAAATATGTACCATGTAATTACTGATGCAGTGGATTATGGTTGATATTTTTAAAGGGAGCATATCATTATTAACTAACTTTGTAACTTTGTCATGGCTTGTGAACATACATAAGGATATCTGGAGTGCCTACAGGATTACAAAAGACCCCCATCCCCCCAGCCACAAACTGTTCTGTCTGCCGTCTGGCAGGCGGTACCGCAGCATCGGGACTAAAACCACCAGACTCAGGGACAGCTTCATCCCATAGGCCATAAGACTGTTAAACACCTGGACTTTGAAACAACATCCATAACATTCATCTGGCTGCTACTTAGAAATTATTTATCCAAGCCAATCACTTGTATATAGACTCTTATTGCACTATTTCACTATTTCACTTTTTTACTATTTTTCTTTTTGTATTTACTATTTTTCTGTTTTTCTGTTTTATTGTGTTGCTCTGTTGGAGGAGCCTGTGACCTAAGATTTTCATCGTCATAACTACACTGTAGCTATGTTCGTATCACCAATAAAAGCTTGAACCTTGAACCTATCTGCAATTCTAGAAGCCATTCAGAACTGTATCCCCTTCCAATGGTAATTGTAATGGGTGACTTAAATTTGAATTGGGAAGATAAGTCATCAAGGAAGAAGCTTAAGTAAATTACTGATAGTTTTAATTTGACTCAAATCGTTAAAGGCCCAACGCGAATAACAAACAGCACCAGTACCCAGCTTGACCTAATTTTAACAAATAGACCTGAAAGGATTACAAAATCATACAATATGGTAACAGGGCTGTCAGACCACAATATGGTGCTGGTATCTAGAAAACTAACTGGCAAACGGTTCACTGCGTATGCAGGTAATAAAGAATCCTTTGGCATCCCAAAATACAAGCAATAAGACTTCAGATCTACTATACAAAACTTAGATTGGGAAGATCTAGTACTTGAAAATGATTTAGAAGTAACCAGTCAAAACTTTACGGGAAAACTGCAGGCCACAATCAATGAATTTTCAATCATGATAAAACATAAAAATAAGAAACAGACTCTCCCCTGGATGAACGGACATGTCAGAAATGTAATGAAGGAGCGGGACAGTGCCTTCAAAACTGCCATAAAATCAAAGATGTCCCATGATAGACATATATTTGCAGGGCTAAGAAACAAGGCAACAAGGGAATTGAGAAAAGCAAAAGCGGACTTCTTTATCACAATTATTGAAAATGCTCAGGGCAACTTAAAAGCTATATGGAGCCAAATAAAGAAATTAACTGGTCAAAACACTACAACAGCCAAGCCAATTGAATTGAGGGTTGAGGGCACAACTCTACAATGCCCAGCTGATGTGGCAACTACACTCAATTATTATTTTGTTGAGTCAGTGGCTACCATAGCCAGTAGCTTCATAGCTCAGGAAGTTAATGCATTCCCGACTGTCAACACTAGCGAACCAGCAGCTGTTCTAAAGTCAGTGTCTGAGACAGAGGTTGCGGAAGTAATTGCCAATCTGAAATCCTCAAGGGCTAAGGATATCTACGGTATGGACACATTCATGCTGAAAGACATTAACTCCTCAATTGTTAACGCATATCATTAATATTGCAATCAATCAAGGGAGTTTTCCCAATCAATGGAAGCCTGCTGTTGTGGTCCCGTTATTCAAAGGTGGGGACCCTCTCATGACATCCAACTATAGGCCCATCAGTATCTTACCCATAGTATCCAAGGTATTTGAAAAATGGATTGCCAAACAAATCATCAATCATCTCAACAACAGCTCCTTTCCACTGCATCCAATGCAATTTGGATTCAGGGCTAATCACTCAACAGAAACAGCGACATGCTTCTTCGTGGAGAAAGTTAAGGCATCAATGGACAGGGGTGGGGTTGTGGGGGCCGTGTTCCTTGACTTACGGAAAGCTTTTGACACTGTTAATCACAACATCTTATTGCAAAAAACACTCAACTTAAATTTTTCTATAGAATTCACCAACCTCTTTAATTCGTATCTTTCATCCCGCTCCCAATGTGTTCAAATTGAGAACCATAAGTCTAGTGCACTATGTTTGTCAACTGGAGTACCGCAGGGCTCTGTATTGGGCCCAATCCTGTTTAGCATGTACATAAATTATCTGCCTTCTGTGTGTGGAGAATGTGATGTATTAATGTATGCTGATGATACAGTTGTTTTTACTCATGGCAAAACCGCAGAAGAGGCTGCTACCAAGGTCACTGATGTGTTGGAGAATATTACATCCTGGGTTAACAATAATTGTTTGCAACCAAATATCTCAAAGACAGTGTGTATGTTCTTCTCCAAGGGCCACAGCATTATAACAGAACAAGATGTTTTCTTTTCTGGAAGGAGACTTCAGGTTGTCTCGGAGTACAAGTACTTAGGAGTACATATTGACACAAACCTCAATTTCAAAACCCATATCAAAAAGGTCTGCAATAAAGTAAAGTTCAATCTGTCAAATTACAGATACATTAGAAACTTCCTATCATCTGCAGCAGCTAAGCTATACCTTCACTCGATGGTCCTCTGCCACATCAACTACTGTCTGATAAGCTGGTCTAATGCACACTCTACAGCTCTAAAACCACTGGAATCACTATATAAACAAGCTCTCAAAACACTAGACAAAAAGCCATTCCGGTATCATCATTGTCACATTGTTAAAAAGTATAATCTGTTCAGCTGGGAAAATCTCATAGTTTACAAAAACATCTGCTTAGTTTATAAGATCACTCATGGGTTGGCTCCTCCTCCTCTGGCTGGCTTCATCAGCCTAAAGTCCACCTCAGGAGGAGGAGGAGGAGGAGGAGGAGGAGGAGGAGGAGGAGGAGGAGGAGGAGGAGGAGGAGGAGGAGGATGAGGAGGAGGCATTTGGTTTTTAGCTTGGGTCTGTATTTATATCTTAAAGAGGCCCTATTTTTCCTGTAGTTTGTTATATAGGTTTTTGTGCATGTAAATGGCCTGCAAAGACTAAAAGCTCTCCCACACACTCGCCCTCCCCCATGCCCCCCCCCGCCTGAAACGCCTCCATTGGACTCCTTTGTGTACATCTGTAACATAATGACATCACACTCGCGCTTCTATTGGCTAGCGCCCGAACACATTGTACGTGATAGGCTAAGGGGCGGGATATCTCTAAGCGGTTGACCAATGACACAGAGCTGACCAGCTAACCAATCAGAGCATGGAAACATGTCACAGTAGAGGCACTAAATACATATATGAACCTGAAATTCTATATTGATGGGCGTAAATGGTGTTTATAGAAGGAGGCAGATGCTTTCAAAATAAAGCTTAATTGGGACTGCAAGTTGAATGTGGTGTTTTGCATACATAAAGTATTTCATATTGAGAACAGCTGTCAGTAGTTTGAATATAAATAGTTTGAGGATGGTGCTTTGCAGAGCTGGAGACGCATGTGGATTAGTTGTTGATAGTCGCTTTTCATTACTGATTTGCATAGTTTAATACTGCAGCATATATCAAATCCTTTCAAAGATCCATTTTCATTTGGCTGCAGAGATTCAAGATGAGGTAACTACATAATGCAGATGCAAGATGCAAGAGAGGAGAGAGAGCTAACTGCTGCAAAGTGAATTAAGGAAACAGTAACGGATCACAGATAGAACTTAATTTGCAGACTCATCGGGCAACATTGAGATTGGAACTGAAGGTCACACTGAAAGCCAAACAAAATAATGCATATTAAATAGAAAATAACAATACAATTTAGTGAAAAGTGCATGCAAAAAGACAGGGACGTTTAGACAGTGAGAGGGAGATAAAAGGACAACGAGAGACACTGAAGGAGGCACAGAAGGATCCAATCTCATCTCCAACTGTGTCCATGTGACGGTGAGAAAATAAAAGGTGAAGATATCACTGGATTTTAACACACGCACGCACGCACGCACGCACGCACGCACGCACGCACGCACGCACGCACGCACGCACGCACGCACGCACGCACGCACGCACGCACGCACGCACGCACGCACGCACGCACGCACGCACGCACGCACACACACACACCACACACACACACACACACACACACACACCACACACACACACACACACACACACACACACCACACACACACACACACAACACACACACACACACACACACACACACACACACACACACACACACACACACACACACACACACACACACACACACACACACACACACACACACACACACACACACACACACACACACACACACACACACACACACACACACACACACACACACACACACACACTCACCAGGCCTGAGGTTTCCTCTTGAGCAGACCATGTCTCCTCCACTGAGAGTGGGGGCTGAGATGGTAGGTCAGCTGACGACAAACCTTCTCCATCGCCCCGAGAGAGTCGCCCTCCTGTGGACATGCAGAGACACAAAGTATCAGCACAGTTATAATCAATCAATCAATCAATCAATCAATCAATCAATCAATCAGAAGAATGCCAGAGTAGAGTGTAACGCACACAATCGGCTTGTGGGATGTGTTCTGAAAAGCTATTGGTCTAAATGCAGGCTAATCACAGAGCACAGTCTAAATTATACACATATTATTATAATATGTGAGCTTGGGAGTGATATTTTCTGTTTACCCCACATGCACTCCCACACAGATATATGATAACAAGGTGAATAATACCAATTGTATGTTTCTGTTTTGTGGAGGAATAAAAGCTAAAACGTAGGATTGGAACGGAATTATTCTTGCGCATCAAAATGTATATACCGTGTTTAATCCCTGGTACACTTCAAAAATCAAAGTGGTGTTAATATGTGAAGATTATCCTGCTGAGCAAAAACATGTTAAGTATCACAGAGCTTATTTTCTGCAATAAACCAAACTTTTGTCGAGGCAGCCCTTGCAATGCTAACTTCCTGGTCGGCCAACACAAATACATCAACACTGCGCCACTCTATTTCTGACAGTTAATGAGTCATCTGTCAATAGTTCAGAACATAGGAAATGAAAAAGAATCAAATACCTTTTGCATACGTGTATTTTGAACAGGGTTTTGACGCTGTCAGTGAAAGTCATTACAGTAAACAGAGAAAGTGGGAAAGGGAGGGTAATTGTCAGGTTGGATAGGACACCATGACAGAATTAGAAGGAGCAGTGAGGTGTTACAGCAGCAACAGGAGAAAAGCCACAAGGATGTCATTAAAGGATGTGAGGACCAATGGAGCAATGAATTAGCAAACACACCTTCTGTCAACGGGTGTTTTTTTTTATTTGACAGGAGATACACACAGTACACACAGTACACACACACACACACACACACACACTGTGATGCTGGGGAATTCAACGCTACATGCTGCGCTGATTGAATGCATCCGTAATCACTCCCTATTTGCTGCCTAGTATGCTACATGTTATTGACTTTGTGTTATTGTCTGTTTTTGTTCCATGCAGTGCGCTCCGATGTGATTAAACAGGAATTTAAATGTGTTTGTGTAAGCATGTACATGACTTTCCCGCAATTAAATTAGCACCCCTTAGCTTGATCCTCAGCTGACTGACATGTAAGTGTTGTGATGTAAGATAGATAATAATTAATTTTAAGCATCCCACGTCCAAATATACAACTAAATGTGTGAATGGGAAAGTATTTTTTTTAATGTAGTTTTAAGTGATTTTAAAGGGGCCCTATTATGCTTTTTGGGCTTTTCCCTTTCCTGTAGTCAGTGGGTTATATGTTTGTGGGCATGAAAAAGGTCTAAAAAGGCTAAAATCCCAAAGTTTTCTCTCCCACACTCTCCCCCCCTGACTGAACCGCCTCCATTGGACTCCTTTTTTTACTTCTGTAACATAGTGACATCAATGTGTTACACTCAAGCTCCTATTGGCTAGCGCTCAAACACATTGTACGAGATGGGCTAAGGGGCGGGACATCTCTAAGTGGTGGACCATGGAGCCGGCCAGCTAACCAATCAGAGCAGACTGGCTCTGGTTTTAGACAGAGGGTGAAAAGAGGTGCTGCAGCACAGGCAGTATGAGAAAAATAAAGAGCTTTTTGAACATTAAAGCATGGAAACATGTCACAGTAGAGGCACTAAATACAATTATGAACCTGAGCATAATAGGCCCATTTTGAGGCATTTTAATTTTCACAAGTTACAAGGTACTGACGCACTGTTTCATCTTCAACCCGTCTGCCTCCATGTCACAAGAACCCTCGACAGTACCATAACAGAGAGAGAGAGAGAGTGTGTGTGTGTGTGTGTGTGTGTGTGTGTGTGTGTGTGTGTGTGTGTGTGTGTGTGTGTGTGTGTGTGTGTGTGTGTGTGTGTGTGTGTGTGTGTGTGTGTGCGCCTATATTGAAATGGATTTATTCAGGTGGTGAGTCAGGTTTCCAGGTCCCAGTCTGAAACAGATGGTGAACGGAAGACGTGACATCAACAAAGTCATTCAGCTCCCAAACTGTGAGGCATCACATTGTTGTTCACCTCAGAGTGTGTGTGTGTGTGTGTGTGTGTGTGTGTGTGTGTGTGTGTGTGTGTGTGTGTGTGTGTGTGTGTGTGTGTGTGTGTGTGTGTGTGTGTGTGTGTGTGTGTGTGTGTGTGTGTGTGTGTGTGTGTGTGTGTGTGTGCATCTGTGAAAGAGGGAGCGTGTGGATTTTTTTTTGGAAATTTGATAGTGAAACAGAAAAAACAATCTTAAAGCTGACAGCTTTTGTGAAAGTGGATAAATTGATACCCGGAGGGCAGCATAGAAAACTTTATTTGACTTCCTCCGCTGCCAGATGAATTTCTTTTTTTTTCAAATGGAATGAAGCGATAATGGTTTGTAGTGAAACTGTGAAGATGTTCCTGTTAAAGTGTCTGTGTGGTCAGTTGAGTTGAGGACACATATATTGTGTAAATGTGCAGTTTAACATTCATAGTGAAAGAACTTGTTTCCATAATTTTTCATAGTCTCACTTATTTGTCCAGTTCTATACATATCTATGTTACAGTATAGATATGTTGTTATTGCATATTTTCCATTCTTATTTGTAGTACCTAATTCATCTTTTTATTTTTCTTCCTTACATCTCCACTCAAATGTAACTTGTACATTTGAATAACATTAACATTTTTCTAATTAAAATGTTATATTTGTCATGCCCTTTTATCTAAAGTGGTTTTAATTAAAACATTTTGTCTCTATCTTCACTTTTGCCCATTTCCCCTCTGTGGGACGATTAAAGGTATTATGATTCTGATTCTGACTTAAAAAATGCCTTGTTCACGTGTAAGCTGCTTGTTTCTAATGTGATGTCATTTTTTTGTAGTGCCATAATAAATGTTTGCTGTTGGTACGCATTGGAACTGACTATTTTTCCTTATCGGGAGCAATACTATAATTTTTAAATCAATAAAATCATAAAATCTATATTGTGAGTCAAGTAGTAGGTTATCTGGGTTTTAGACGTGTTATAAGCTAGATAATGTGCAGCGAGGTGGTAATTAAAAAGAAATCCCTGACATCCTGACCCTGATCACCCAGTCAGCATGCCGCTGTGTCCTTGGGCAAGACACCCCAAATTGATCCTGTGGGTATTGTCCACAGTATTAATGGATTACACGTCTCATATATGTAATATAATGTAATCTAAAGCGCTTTGAGCACTTGGAAAAGCACTAGAATAAATGCCATTAATTATTATTATTAATGACCGTCTCAGTGCACATTATCCCTTACATATTTCATCATATTATATTAGAATTAATACTTTATTGTACATTTGGTTACATTTTAAGGCTCAAAATCTAACCAATCACTGCCATTTGTACAATGTTTGAGTTTTCAGACACACCTTTTAGACCCACATCACTGCGGTGCTTCTTTGTAGTCTTAGTTGAGGCGTATTGATGTTGTGCTTTGTACCGACACTCTGGGTAATGTACAGTAATGAGAGGTCTCACCATATCAATGAAGCTTCTAGAATTGAATGGTGTTGAAGTGAAGGAGAGAGCCGGGTCGATGAGCAGCATCTGCAGCCCCCCCTCAGCACCTTGTGGCTTCACTGTGGCCTTTTCTACATTGCACTGCACCATGCCCTCTCTCGCACTCATCCCCTTCCTTTCCACTCTTCTTCTCCTTATTTTCTTTTAGCCCCGGTTGTGCTGCCTCCCTCCCTCTCTCCCTTCCCCCCTCCTCTTGTTACATTATTGATACAGAACACATCTATGAATCTCTCCAGCCTCCAGAGAACAGATGACCTCTCCTCTGTCTCCATCCCTCTTTCTTATTTGTCCATCTGCTTCATTTCTATTCATTCCCCTCAGGCCAGACTGATGATGAATTATTTTTGCACAGTACAAATGTAACCATTATTTCAGTCCTATTTTTCACTGCATGCCCTCCCTGCTCTGGTGAATTACTGCAAAATGGTTCCATTCTGCAGATGAATTGTTTGGATAATTCAATATTTAAGCTCTCGTATTATTGGTGCAGAGGAAGAACTGACTCTGAATCATGGCTGGATCTCAGATCTCACTTATGTACTTCAATTCCACATTTATTTTATCATGCTTATTTTTGTGTTCCCATTATAAAAGCTGTACACAGAAAAAAATTAATCCATGCCAGTTCTAATGTTATATTTTCTACATCTCTCTCACCTTGACTTCACATTTACCTTATAATTGAATGGTAGTTTAGCTGTTTAAAAAGGAAACATGGTTGAATATAGATATTGTAAAGTGAACAGATTGGGAATCACTGTATGTTGTAGGAACTGTAGACATAGTGTTTGTTTGAGTGGGCAGATATCTGCTAGTGGCACATGTTGCTTTACAGTGTTACACAGTATTGAGAGAATTGTAGAACTGGGGTGTGATCTGAGATATTACCTGTGTCTACAAATCACTGTAAACAGCCAGAGTTTGGAATTAGGAAACCTTGTGAACAGAGAATGCACTTTTATTGTCCTTTTATCTTATCAGTATTTTACCCTTTTAGGCAGATACTGTATAAGTGCGGTGAAGTTGATTAAGATTAAGATTTACTTTATTTTTCCCATAGAGGAAATATAGTTATTCACTCTGGTGTTATTTACATTACACAGATAGGCGAAAATACCCCCAGCATTAGCGTTAGCATTAGCGGAGAGCATCAGAGCGAAGGGGCTTGGGAGAAAAAATGATTTCAGTGCCTTGCTCAAGTACATCTTTGCAGTGTCCAGGAGGCAAACTGGCACCTCTACAGCTACCAGTCCACATTCTGTACTTGGTCCAATTGGGACTTGATCTGGCGACCCTTCAATTCCCAAGCCTAGTCCCAGCCGGCCTATAGGACTGCAGAATACGATAGTGAAATGGCTAAAACATAAAAGACAGTAAAACAAAAGAAAAATCAGGAAAGGTTTTCCA